TGAGCTATGTAGTAAAAGATTAGGAATGAACAGGCAAAACCAGAAACAATACAGTGTTAATACAAGTATATAAAAATTTACTAGATTACGCATATCTGTTACCTACTGTATACCCTCTTATTCTCCCGTGTATGTCGCAGAGTTCATAGCAGTTTGACCTGATGTGAAAAACTCATGGTTCTTAATTGAGAAAAACTGAGTATTCTTATTTTATATAACAATTGTGATGGGGAGAATAATGAAGAAAGGAATTGTTTGTTATTGAAAATTGTTCCTACATTGAAAATGTACTGTATCAAAGATTTCCTCATAGCACAATGCTTATTTTTATTGCAGTTGTATTGTTTTGTGCAACATACAGTATGTGTGTGTTTCTACATGTTTTTGGAATATACAGAATATAAACACAGTAGCCTATTTAAAAATTGTTGAATAAAAAAAGGTTGAAAAGTTTTGTCCAAAATGAGTCTAAAAAATAATGACAAATAATGGCATGGCTAAATAATGGTAGCCATTCTAAATGTATTAGATAATTATTTTCCAAGCAGATCCTTTGAAAGATACTGTACTGTTGAACTACCACTATCCACATCTTAAAACCAGATGACATATTGGTGTGGAACTTTCAGCAAATCTCCATTGAAAACAACCACAATTTTATTAAAATTGTCTTGACTAAATCTGGACATATAAAAGACACTGTTGGTAAGGATACCTCTTACAAAAAGTATTTAATAGACTTAAATTTATTTGCCTACAGCTATTTGCTGTTGGGGAAAAACACAAATTCTTTTAAAATATTTAATTCAAAGAAACAAATCACAATGTTTACGCAAAACCTTAAAGTGTGGAACTGTTATGCCATTAGGGGAATGCCACAGGGTGTCAGTACAGACGCAAAGCACAAGACTTCAGAATGTTACTTAATGTGTTTTATCTTTAAGGCCATCTTAAGAATGGTGATGTTGTATATCCTAAAAACATTTAAAAGAAGCCGAGACTCTTACTGTTGTTTCCTGTACAGAAGGTTCCATTCATTCACACACACATAGACAGTAAGAAGCACAGAGCTGTTTCATTTAGTGCTTTGCAAGTGAGACATACTGTTGTGCTGTGAAAGTAAGGATGTAATTCAAGAAACTTAACATTCGCTATTCATCATTTTAATGCTGTCACCTTAATAAGAATATGTCACAACCTAATAAGAATAAAATTTGCAGACAATAATCAGAGCAGACAAAAGAAAATTCATCACATATTTTTCATTGAGCGAAACTTTTTTCGTTCATATTTGGACAATTATTAGAGAGAAAACAAAACTGTCAGATGCACTAGACTAGTGTTATGCACTAGTGTTATCTTTTTACACTAAAAACAGGCTAGACATTACCTGTACTCTGGCTGTAGAATCCAGTCACTATATTGTAGCTTAAATTATTTAGTGAACCTAATGCTTTGGAGAACAGTACATACAAAGCACTAAAACAATTCTAAAAACATACAAAAAAGTTACAAAACCAAATATTCTCTCACACATTTTTAGAGAACTATGTTGCAAAGGCAGTACTCCTTAAGCAGCTGACTGAAAATGTCACAGGGCTCAGGCTTACTTCAGGGCCAAATAAGCTCTGCTTGCATTTCAAATACATGACATGCTATTAAACAGCACTGCCAAATAATCTAGAAAAGTAGATGATGGATTGTCTGAGAAACTTAAATTTAACTTTAATCGAACCGTGTCATGAACATAACTGTATCCCCCTGTGCTGCCATTATCAGGGGGATCGAGACAAAAGTGACCCTTAGGGTTGATAAGGCATCTTGAAGTGTTTGTTGCTAATGGCAGACTAAGTATATACTTTTGCATGCCCATGTCCTCTTGTCACTATTATATTATATAACTTGCATTCCTTTGTGACAAATATATTTAAATAATACTTTTTATAGCAAATTACTTCCATTATCTAACACAAATAAATCTCTATCATTAATAATGTTTATGGGGGAAAAAATTGAGCTGCACAAAAAGCTTGAGCTGTGCTCTATTTCACAGCACTCTTAGCAATTTCCCATTCACACTAATGTAGCATTAGACCAACTGCATAGGGTCAAAATAGGTACAGTAGCTCTACTTTAGCTCCTTTCTTAGTAAAATGTTATTATAAAGTAAATTCAATTGCCAAAAAAGCATATCTGTTGAGTTTCTTATACTCTTACAAGTACTCAGCATTATCCATTATATCATATTAACAGTACAGTAGAACATATTTAATATTCAAATTTACTGGCTCGATTAATAGATGTAATGACCAGATAAATCAAATAATTGTCACTGACCTAAACATCTGAGTTAAAGCTTTTATCACCAATATTTCCTAATGAGAAGAATGTTTTAGTTAGTATTTGTTAGTTCTTGGTTCTGAACACATACTGTATGTGAAATGTTATTCATGAACTACAAACAACAATTGTTCCTTTTACCATGTATACAATTAGTAACCTACAGTAGCTCATACAGTATAGTAGAATGAAAGTGAAGATTAATTAGTGGCAATCTTTCTTGAAAAAAACCCAGCAGCACCTTCTTGATTTTAAACTTTAAATTTTAAAGATCAATTCATCTGCAATATGTGATAAAAATGGAATATACCAGAAATATTTCCCTTGTTACTGTATATAAATTGATGTTTTTCTCTTTGTGTGAACAGCTGCCAAGACCCAGATGTCTCTGGCAAAATGACACAGGCAAACATGCAGTACATGTTAGCCATTTCTCAGAGCAGAAGTATCAGAATTTGTATAATTGTCAGCAATTTTGAGTGGAGACCTGCAGATAGTTACACTTGTCAGTGATTTATCAGTGAGGAATTCAAAGCACAGGTATATTTGTTAACAGTTTCACTGAACTGAAATCTAAAGTGAAAGAAAACTCAGCAGAGAATTCTAAGGATCAGTGTTTCTGTCAGTGGTTCCATGCAGCTGAACTTTAAGAGAAGCTACAACACTTGACAGCTTCTGTGTGAAATCTTAGGCCATGTGCGCTGACTTTGACTATCACTAGAATCAGAATGATAAGTAGTATAGCAAGGCAAAGGGGAAAGGATTAAGTCTGAAAGACAATATACACTAAGATGGATGTGTGACCATCCAATTTTTAATATTGTCTAGTTTTCCATTTTCCTATACAAGTCTTTCTGTATGCCATTTACAATATTCAAATGCCTGAGATCAATTGCCATTAATGCACACTGTGTGCATTCCTACAAGCTGGGCCTATTACAATGTGATGTTAAGCAGAATAAAAGGAAACACTAAGAATCAAGATGAATTTATCCCCAGAGATCAGCAGTTCATTAATAACAGGGATAATATTTTGGTTCAAGGCATGGTAAGAATATTTTTTCAGGCCTTTATTGCCAGACACATTAAATGAGAAAATTATCTTGATATCAATTGCAGCACATAAATACCAAGAAAGTCTCTGTTTTCTTTACAAAGTTAGTAGAGTGATCGCTCACCATTACTTAAATTTGAACATTTCCAGATTTTGTATCACCTTTTTCTATTAAAGAGGAAATGTATTGTTCCCTTCAAAAGCATATGGTTAACAGTGATACTTAAAAAAAAATAGAATTGTGCAGATGCTTTCTTACACAATAAACCCTAGGATCTGAGGCGAAATGGGCCATGAAATAACTTAAATGACTAATTATGTAGCTTTCCGAGTCAGTGAACCAATGCTAAACATGTCACCTCTATGCTGGCTTATGCCATATAAAAAGAATTATCCTGGCCTGTGGCATGGACACTTTATCATTTCCCATGAACACCCACAGGTGTAGGGGCAGGATGTGAGGTAATGGAAAAGCCTCAGATAGACCTGGAGATGCCGCACAGAGAAGGCTATGGATCGCATGTAGCACCAATGTCAAGCAGATGTCTACATATGGTGTGGAACTTTAATAAATGGGAAATGATATGGGAACTCAAGAAACCTAAAATGTAAGAAATTAAAGGAATTATTTTACAAATAGATATTGTTCTTTTAGTGCCATATCCTTCAGAATAATTTCTCTCATTACAAAATCTTACTTTGTTACATTTTAAACTTTTAATGCTTTTTCTAATATAATGTAAATTAGCTTAAAACAGTATTATGAGTTAATTAGAGATTATTGAATTCGTTTTTTTTTTTACTCATGAAATAAAATAAAGTGCACAAAGTCTGGTTTCCCCAGCTGTCAAACTACAGATTTGCTTAATTTATTATGGAGTGGGCAGTTTGCCCACTGGGAAAAGAAAAAGACGAAAATGTTATAAAGACATCCATGATTGAATTTACCAAAAAAGGAATGTTCCATAGTACAGTATTTAAGATAAAACCACCACTGCCTAACGAACTGTATTCCTCTTACAGTACCTATACTATTTCTGAGGTAGATGTGTTAAAATTAAACTTTGATTTTATGATATAACTCGCTAACACAGTAGATCTTAGTTTTCCATGAAAGAATAAGTGTTTAAAGAAATAAATATCTTTAAAGTCTCTAATAAAAACCGTATCATTATACCCTTGTAATCTGAATTTATCTTGAAGCAATAAGGGGTGTTCTCTGAAGCAGGAAACTCGGATGCAGCTTCTTTAAATTGGTCTTTCCAATATTGGGCTATAGAGGAGGCCATGTGCTTTATGCTCAACAAGGATTACCAAAGTGCATTTTCTATATAATTTGCACTGAACGTGTTGCAAAGGAACAGTTTTTTTACTCACTTTGAAATCACACAGAAACACAACTTCCCGTGAACAGAATGGATACATGTTAATGAATCACGCCTCACAAAACAGTTTTTCAAGACAGTTAATGCATAATGGATATTTTGTTTCACCTACGTTACTTCAAATAAGAATGAAGACAATGCTGCTCTAAATTAGGCAAGACTAAATTAAATTAGAACTTCTCGTTCCGTTTCGCAAGAGCAATGCATTTAACAGACTTTACCTCCCACAGGTGACGTGTGTTCCTCAATGTCCCAGTCTGTATCTTGTCCAGGAGAAGGGGAACTCCTTGAAAAGGCCCAATCCAGGTGCCCTGGGGGATCCTTTGTGCTGCACAGATGCCATAACCGAGTCCCGGCACAGTACTGGTGCAGAGACACACCTCTCTAGGTAGGTCACGCAGCCACTCGGGAATCTCTGGAGGGGCTACAGCCGCTACAGCGCTGCTGGTTCCTACCAGCCGGCGTAGAGAATGAAGGGGGCCGTGCATGGGGCACTCACCATTCCGGTTGTCTGCACACATGTCACAGCCTGGGACAGCAAACAAGAAACTACGTCAGTTTCAAGCAGCGATGCATTGAATATATGTATGATACTCTAACATAGTCCACGACACAAAATATATATAATGTAAGCAAAAACTAAGTGACGAAGTTGATATACAGTAGTATACATGTGCTTTCTTCAACGGTAATATCAAAGTCCTGTGCAACTTCTTTACAATTTACTGTCTTTTTAAATACACAAGGATTCACGTTTTGTTAATCAGTCCAGCCAAATGATGACCTGTAAAACACGTTTCGTCGTACACTTTTAACTGCATAACTATTCATTTCACAGTGCAGTAATTCATGCCATTTATACAGTATCTTGTGTTTTCACTGGAATGTTAAAGTGCATTTATATGCCTTCCATCAACCTTTTTTATATGGATTTAATTTAATAGACATACAATACAGAATTTTTCAGGTTTTTAAAACGAAAGTTCTAATTAGACCTGTAATCTCATTTAAACAAAACTTTACAAAGTTAAATACAGTATATATATGAACACAATTTTATGTAGCCTAATCATTGCATTCAATAGATTCACCAATTGGCAGATAAGAACATGATGCACAAAGTTTAATTTCCATGTATTGTTAAAGCTAAACATAAGTAAATTAAAATAAAAGTAATAAAGGTATCTTAAACAAGAATTAATACGATCTCATTTTAAACATTAGAAGCTTTGAAGTAAAATTAATTTACAAATTACGAGTGACTAGATAATTAACATAAAATTCGTGTTATTCCGAACACACGTGAATTTAGTTTCTGATCTGATCTGAATTTAGATCTACATAGCGTTCTTCACACGAATCGTCTTTTATAGAGAATTCTTGGGTAGCAAAAATCTAAGCCAAAAATGTCGAAGTACAGTTAACATAATTAACATATAATGAAATACATCCCTTTATTTTGTTTACTTTATTTAAAAGTGTAACAGTCTAGCAATGTTTGAAATTTAGGCGAAATGTGGTAATCAATCTGTTAACAATACTTCATGGATACTTAAAACTTAGAAAAATCAGTTTTGTAATTTTGACCAATTTATCTACAGATTTTATCAAAAGATATGTATTACTCTTTTGATTATTATTAGAACAACATTTTCTCCTCTTTCCAGCATCATAATTGTCAGAAGGCGCTGGATCAGATGTGATGTCTTGACCTCGATGGGCTTTTCTCTATATAGACTGTAAAGCTGTACAAGACAAGAAAAATGTATAATAAAAGACGAATAAATACCGATCATACATACATATATGCCTTACAGGTTTTATATTCTTACGGTTGTAGTTCATGTGGCTTAGTAATGCTTATGAACGTTCACGTAAACCAATTAATTTGTTAATTATACACTTTCGCAAAACATGGCTAAAAGTTTCCTACCTACGGCAACTAAAAAACCGGACCACACGAAAAAGAAGTATGTATCCGATGTCTCTACATAGCGCATGTACTATTGTATTTATGTAACTATTTTCGCTGTTGTCTACTTTCAGAGATATTCCCTGTTATTTTTATCTTTGTCTTTTCCTTTGTTTTAAGGTTGTTCATACAGTAGGTAACAAAAAATAGATTATTTTTCTCAAGCGCGCGATTAAGGAACATTTTTACTTTCTTTCAATTCTTTATTTAGTCGCCTTTAGAAACACTGTTAAAGTAGAATGACCAATCCTCATTTTTCACACTGATTTTATCAATGTTCCTCTTAATTCATTTTTGATATTTGTAGCTGTTGTTCGTGACTACAGTAGGTACAGTACCTTATTACACCTTATTAAAGACAAAGTAAAAGGCGCTTATGCCCTCTCATCAATTTTAATTGTACATTCTATACATAAAGCGCCTTTTGAAGGATAACACTAATTAAAAGTACACATCCGTTTTTTAAACCGTACCTGAACTGGTTAATAACGTGAATAGAAAACACAGTAAACTCTTCAAATTGGACACTAAGATCACGTAAAAGTGTCCTCTCCATCTAACTTTTAACTATAGTCCATAAAAGAATAACAACTTCATCGTGTTACCAATGTACATGATTATTAAACAATGTGCTAAACACCGTTAATAATATAAAAGTAAAGCCCGCATTTGAGATCGCCAGATTGTTCTAGGGAACAGTAATTGTAATATAAAGTTATCTATATCATATATGTGCACTGCACGGTATTTGCTTTGTACACAATTTATGTGAAAACCTTATAATTGCCATATCAACCAATTAGTTATTTAGGAATGTATTGGATCATACTCTATTTACAGTATATAGACCTATTTATATTATATATATATATGATGGTGTTGCAACCATCTAATATACTTTGGTTGTATTGTAAATGACTCAGATTTGTTTGAAATATGGGTAAGAGAATATTGTGTGTAGATAAAGCAGTCCCACCGTCCCCCGGAGACCTCCATATACCATGTTGGGATGATGAATAGCGGCCGGTGGAGAAGATCGATTCCTGATCCACACTCACTCCACTCTCCTCTACAAAACTATACGGCAATTAATTGTGGCTTGTCCCCTCATCCTTCATCTCCTTGTGGCACATATCGATGGAGATTACTGCTGATGGACCATTTTATCGCCTTAAATAAACAGTCACCACCTTTTCAAACCTCACTTTAATATATAGGGTTATACCTTATATATACGGCTTCAAGTACCGGTATATTTTATTGAAGTAGAAAAGAAAAAGTAAAAAGCTGTAAATCTAAACCTCAACCTTCACGTAAACAGACACATTCCGAACATACAATACACGGATTTGCACCGAAGATGAGTGTGGTAAAATTATCTGATCATGCGGCCTGCATTAAGGTTATTAGTGGACATTATTAAGTAAGGTATTTATATTAACAGTAAATATTATTATTTTAACATATTTTCAGGATGTTGCAATTGTTGGAGTTCGGAATCTTCTCTGAAATATTGATTAGATCTGACCGCTTGAATAACCGTCTTTTTAATTCAACTTTGGAACTGTCAAGAGACAACATTCTTGTTTTAAACTAGAACATTTTTAATGTTATACCTAGGGTATTTTGTTATCAGATAGCAGATGTATACTGGTAGTCAAAATAACGCAAAACCTATTAATTATTCTCCCGTAACCGATCTTTCAGATTTCAATTTGGAGTCAAACTATTCAAAACGTAGTGCAATAGGTAACAACCTATTGAACGATAGCAATAAGTCTTAATTAAACCTTAATAAGAAGGTTTTGAACCAATATAAAACATTCTTTTAATTCACCATTTAATTTAAATAAAATCTTCAAGCCTTCTGTTTAATGCTTGGAAACGTGGACGATTATTAAACGAAAACGTTGTCTTTCATGGGATCAGGTAAGAATTGATAGCCTTCATAACGTAGGCCAGAACAACAACTGCGAAAATATTCTCATTGGCACTTAGACCAACACTCAAGCAACTTTCTGTCCTATATCATTTACTAAGTACAGGTTTGGGCTACCCTTAGTTAATGTGACAAGAAAAAACCTCAAGTGGTTTAAAAGGTAATAATTTTAAAGAAGGTCATCCACTCTGAACTCCTGAACTGAAATTAAATTCACTGTATTGTAAAACGCCTAAGGCAAATCCAGAAATTCTGGACAATATCGCCCTCCCATCACTTCTCTGGGCTGAAAAGTGCAAACATAACGTCAAACACCGCAATAAATGCAAGTGTAGAAATGTCCTAGTCATTTAATACTGGTAAAGTTAACATTTAAATAATAAGGAAAAACAGTGCCGACCTACAGTAGTAACATCCAATAACTGCATTGCGAGCCGCACAGTCTTTTATCTACATAAGTTTTACAAGCTATCCAAGTCCAATGACAACATTATTGCTTATTAGGTTTAAACTTTTTTCTTATCAAACTTGACTAGTTATGAATAGAAAGGCTATTTGAAATCACGAAAGTTTAACAGGCCTATGTGGTCAATGCATGTGTCATATCTGTACTGTATTTTAAAAGGTATTCGTGACTTCTTGTACAAGATTATTAAATATGAAACTTTCAGCAAGAAGTTTCCTTCTAAAATGTTACAAAAGTTTTTAAGTTCAATTAAATCAGAAAGGAGTGCTAATTCAAATAAGACTGTTCACAGTGAAATCTATAATATACAGTATTCACAAGTAACTTTTCCTCTGCGAACTACTGTATACGTACGATTATTGGGATCGCTGGTGTGATTGTTCAAGGGGATTATTTCCATTCTCTGCTGTCCATAGAGGTAATAGTCTAACTCCTCAGAAGTAAATTTAAACTTTGGTCTTGTGTCATTTTTACAGTTGGATGACAAGCAAAGGTCTTTGGCTTGAGCGGTGATTCCCGGGGTGTGGATTTCGGAGCATTGCGAGTGTCCAAAAAGTGCAATCTGGGGCACAGACAACTGTGTTAGACCTGCTAGCGAAGAGATTGAAGAGGTTGAGGAGGAGGAAGATGGGGTTGAAGCGGATGACGATGAGGTGGAGGAGATGGAGGTCGGACGCTGACGGAGGCTCTCTGCCGAAATATCTGCTCTTTCGGGCGGCTGAATCTGGTTATGGGCTCCGCTCTTCGGCTGGCTTTGTGGGAACAGCTGTTGCCAGTGCTGAATGTAAGCTGGGTCCACCTTCAAGAAAGCAGATCCGCTGGGCTCACCGGGTTTCAGCATCTCCAAGGGTGGCTGTAAGACACAACAGTAAGTTTTTTCTATTGATGTTTATGACTTTTGTTTCTCTGAAAATCAATTGGGATCTGTACAGAGAGCAAAACCAACATCAAAAAGTCATACACAAAACAACTTCAACAACAAAGGGGTTTAAAAATAAAATATTAATAAAATGAAAGCATCCTAATAAAAAGTTCTTTGTGTTTAGTTCTACCACAATTACCGAAATAATACAGCTGTATCATTGTTGAAACACAATGAAGGAAAATTCAGACGAAATCTGACTTACGGAACTTACTTAAATGTTTCATAATTGCTCTCATAACCACGCCTTGGTTGTATTAATACCCCTCGCATGTAATGGAATGATGCACTTTGTACTGTATGTCGATACAACGCGGATTACAGCTGAGAGCATCCCTCTTTTCTATACTTTTGAGCGCTTTATGCGCACAAAACTCATTTTAAATCTTTTCAGATCTTGGACTTCCAGCACATCAATACACTTACCCAGTTTACGCAGATAGGTCTTAGCTTCGTCACTTACAGTGGTTACAGATTGTATATTCCAGACTCTTAAACCATAATCCTTTTGTTTATGGGATATGCTGTGTTCTGTATCCAAGCTCCAAGTCTGAAGTACGATATCCGAGCTCCCCCCTTCTCGCTCGCCCTCAGATCACTAGCAGCCTTGTAAAAGGACACGTGGGTTTTACGACAGCACGAAACCCAAGGGATGGGGGAGTTCACACTGGATCAAAAATACAACCTAACATCTGTCTCTGTCAGTACTATTCTCAGTTTTTGGATTATTAAATTAATCAGTCGAAACTTTTATTTGAAAGATTATGACCATAATTAGTCTATTTGCATAATAAATTATACAAAACTGCAATAACTACTCTAGCATTTTTTTAGCCATTGTGATACCTATGTAAAACTCCTTTTCTTGTTATCCTTGTCCTTCAGTGAATTTATTTGCAAATAATTTAATGGTACAAATATGCAGTCGAATTAAAAATGAACACTTTTTATAAATATGTAAATATGTTATAATTAAGGATTCACTTTCCCCAGTTCATGCTACGGTACAATGTTAGGCTTTGAAAATCAAATTTGTTAATCGTTGATATATGTATAGTATGTTTGGCACCTTACAAGTTAAATACATTGAATGTTTTCAATGAATTTGTAATCCAGATGAGAACAGATACAGCAGCTTTTAAATGTCTAATTACTTTCAATCCCGTTTTAGTTTTATTCCATTAAATATTTCAAAGATAACGGACCTCATTGCATTGTTAGTGCTGCGTCTTATCCAACCACTGGTTTTTCCCACCCTTTCTCTCAGACGCTTGAGAAAGTTACTGCTGTTTGGATTGTGTCTGTATCTAAATGTAGGACATTTTTTGCACAATTTCATCCAGAGCTGCGCTAAAAATGTTTTGACTGGCGTCTTTTTGACAGGCTCATCCGTCATTTGCAATACAGATTGATAACGTAAACTAAAAGACAAACATTATCGCCTGAAAAGGAATTCTAATGTAACTGCCATTGACAATGAAAAATTCATCTCACTATAAAAGAATGTGGATCATAACCTAGACGATCTCCCAGTGTTTGAGAACGGGTTTATGCGAAGAATTAGCAAATCCCAAGAAGGTATTTTATTTTTTCTGTTAAGTTATTCAGTTTCAAATGTTATGTAATTTCCTCCAAAAAACATTGACAAGGTAGTAAGTTGTTTTTTTTTTCTGTCAGATGTTAATAGACGGCATGTGTCCCCTGTACTTCACATACAGTACTTTCCTTAACCCCATGACGACATGAACCAATGCATTCTAAATATAATTTTATTATATCGTCGAGTGTGTTATATTTGGACTTTTTCATAAGCGTATTAGCTAAATAGTATTTGTAATAAGTATTTATGGAGTGAATGTCTGGAACTTCAATAAAGGATTGGCAGGTGGTTCTAAACCTAATGCTTGTTAGAGCGCTCAGATTAGTCAAATGTACAAATCCGATTTCAATTACAGACAATAAACGCTAAAAGGAGAGGGATATAAAAACAAAAGTGCCACCAGGGACATTTTTAAACTTGGGAGCCAAAGAGCAATAAAAGAGCTCTCTAGCTGTCTGATTAACAATGGTCCTTTGGGAGAGATTGCAGACTGTTAACATGGTACTTGTCCATCAAAGGAGTCACCACCAGCTCAGCGCTTCATTAATTGCGCGGGATCGTTTTTGATAGAATTCGAATATCTGTTGTCAATTAATTGTGTTAGTAAAAGCAAGCTCACCACCCTATGAACAAAATGTATTAAACCAAAGCTCAATATCCAATTCACATATTGTAAATTCCTTTGAAAATAATACATTATAGAAGTGAAAGATCATTCTGATTTAAATAAATCAATAACGATAAAATATATTAAAGTAACATTATATAGCTACCTTTTGGGGAAAATGCACGTCTCAACCATGTTTTATGATAATGTTTTACGCCTTCTCTTGTTTGAGTAGCTAGACTATATTAAAAAATATTCAGGAGCATATTTTGAAAAATTGCAGCAGAGTAATACGCAAAAAGATACCAATATTCCCGAAACTCATTTTCTCTGAAAAGTTCTGGCACAGATGCGACACTATACCATAAAATGCAATTGTATATACATTATTTTAAAAGAACAGAAATAAAGTGTTGTACATACAAATCTTGGGTTGTTTTGTACTTAACATTAACCAAGAAGTACTATGAGCTATTTTTCTGCTTATCTGCCACCCTATGCTGGTTAGTACTGTATATGGAGTTCCAGAGTTCAATATCATATGAAAAAAAAATCCTAATACTGATTTAAACAACCAGGGACTCAAGGTTATAAAAATGGCCACATTTAAGATTTTTAATGTAGAAGCGATTGGGCTTTTTTCCTTAATCTATACCCTCCAAATCGATGTTGAATATTGCTAGAAATTTGTTGAAGTGAAATAAATAAGGCGCGAGAGTGTATTAAATGCAAAAGGAGAGCGCAGTGGTGTTTTTCTTCATTGATTAATGACCTCTAAAATAAAACCCGCCGGAATGGGAGCTCGGATCGATAAATTAACTGCCGAAATTCATCATTTTCTTTGGCAAAAATGGTCTGATTATAGTGGGAGATGTTTATATTATTATTATTTGACGTGAATCTCAAAATGCTAATCTGGGTTTCGCCTCGATCCACATGCTCTATCAGATTCTGTCTGACATCCAATTAAAAAGTTTACATTTCTTGTTAATTAATTCGCCTGATCCTTGGAAGACAAATGGACGGCTGTCTTTGACAGGAGTCCGATAAAGAATTCAACGGCTTTTCTCTATGCCCTGGGTGTCTCCTGATTATAGTTTTAAGGTCACGGGTTTCTGGGTTTATAATTCATTAATATAGACGTCTATTCAGATGGGATTCCACAGTTTGTTTTGCATCTTCTGGATTTAATTTCTCCCAGAGAAGAGTAAGACGTGTTTGGGGGTGCATCTAATGAATGCATCAATGTTTTAAATATTTTTAATTATCCTGCACGTTTAAACGCTTTTTGTATTGATTAGCATATATTAATGCAGAGTTTATTTATTTAAAAAGTATTTGCTTTAGCGTTTGTATTTTGGGGATATTTTGAATGAAAGCGCCTGAAATAATCATATAACCACTCAACTCCCATGCAAAATTCTATAGTCAAGACTATCAACAAATATGTCTATTTTGTCCTTATTGTTAAGCGACACTACTCATTTTCAACTTTGCTGTGTTTAAAATACTATGTTTAATACTGATGAATTAAAAAAAGATCGTAATTACAACCAGTTCTGTTCTTGGTGGTATTCAGCAAAGCTACCTGCATCTTAAACGGTTTCAGTGTGGACATCCAGACCCTACAGTATATACAGTACAGTACACAATAGAGCAAATCTAACCTGTATGATTTAGTTTTAACTTTTATACGCTCGGAGACATCAGCGCAACTAAGAAACGACGTCTTTGGGATTGTTAATGATTTATATTACCTTAAAAGAAACTCCAGATAAAATATTTTCATCTTAGGAAGATTTGTTTTCTCTACTCTACCGCCTCTCCCCTCATCCCCATATTTCCCTGTATATTCCTTTCTTAGACTCTGAGTTAGAGTGCCGTTGTGGTTGGAAGTGCTTCTACTGTACGTAATACCACCTTATCAAAATGGATTTAGATGGCACAGTTCTAATATAATATAAAACCGATTTTTTATTAGGCTGAAATAGATTTGATAACGTTTATCGAAGTTAAGCCTATATAATGTTGATTATACCACAACATACAGTATAGGCCTTGATAAAGTCGTAAAAAGTTTACACAGTATGTTGGCCCATCGCTGTAAAAAAATAGCCTGCATTGCCTAGACATTTACTGTATGCAAAATAAATATTAAAGTGGTTTACTTCATACAACGTCATACAATCAAAATTAAAAGTCAATTTAAAATGGAAACCGGTAGGTATACAATGGGAAGGTACATGGCAAGATGCTGTATGTACAGTATACTAGCCTTTTATATAAAACCCAACTCTCGTCCACTGTGAGATATTTAACTGGTAATCATGTGTAAGAAACCGAAGAGGGCGCAACTATCATTCTTGATAAAACTGGAGACACGTAAAATTGCAAGATTTGGAAGCAAATACATAGAAAAGAAAAAAAAGTTCACAATTTAAACTTTAGTTGCTACACAATTCCTTCCTCTGCTACTGAAGTTTTAAACTTTATTACGACATGTTAGATACAGTTGGTGCTAGTCAAAAGTGTCAGGTGTAAGGCCTTCATAATTAACATTAAATGCATTCTTACCGCCTTTGTTTTTCATTTACCAGTAAATGACCAATATTAAATTCTTCATCATAGTTACAGTATACAGTACACATTCATGTTAAGTTTAAATTAGAAAATTAACGTCTGTATGGGAATATTCCAGTCGTCCCCAAATTCGTACTGACGTCG